ATACAGGATTTATATAGTGCCAACAGTTTGCGCTGCATTTTACAAAATGAAGGTAGACATAACAGATACAATATAATTTGGTACAAGAGGAAACAGAGGGCCCTGCATCTTAGAGCTTACAATCTAAGAGGAAGGGTTGAGTGACACAATAGGTATTAGCTGTGGGGGGATGAGCTGATAGAGGAAATAAAAGGCAGTTTACTAGTTATAAGCATGATTGGCTTCTTTAACCCCTTCCCGCTGGCGCCTCCTGGCCCTTTAAGTGTTTCAGAAGCCGGGAGGCGGGATGGGGTTTAGGGATCATGTGACTGCTGTGACGCGTCATCACGGCGGTCACATGATCAGGAAAGGTCCCAATCGAAAGAGCAGACCGGGACTTTTCCATAAGTACCGGACATGTGTTCTGGGAGCGCGCAGGGTGCGCGTTCTCAGTACATATGTTCTTTGTTAATTGCACGCAAATGTGCAGCCGTTCGGCATCTAGGTCTAGACGCCAGGAGGCCGCACATTTGTGTGTGGCAAGCGTGAAGAGGTTAACCACCTCCCGTCCGGCCGTTGTATATAAACGGCCAGACGGTGGCAGTACAGGGTCTGGTGGCCGTTTATAAACGGCCTCCCTGACCCCTGCTTGTGCACGCTCCTTGGAAGCGCGCAGCACCGCGATCCGGTGCCCGCTGTGTCCTCCGGACACAGTGGAACACCGATCGTCGGACAGGATCTCTGTGCAAGGTCCCGATCGTGTGATCATTGATTGGCCAATTTAGGGTATTTAGGGTGTAACATGTAACAAGTTGCTAAGCATCTTCCCCTCCCCCATCCACTTGAGGCTGTGAGGGGCTCCACAGATAACAATACTAACAGACGCCTAACTAACTTTATAGCTTAGTAGTATACTAACTTTTTTTTTTAGTTTTGGATAGTGTGGAGAGGAATTAGATCACCTGTCACCCTTTCTATTTGTCCTGTGATCATAACCAATGAAAGTGAAAGAAAACCCCAAATTTTGAGTGGTCATGAAAACAAGCATAAAGGGGAAATATTCTAATAGGGACACTAGTTCAGGGACTTCCTGGGACAGGAAGTGAAGGGAAATCTCCCCAATGAGACACAGACGGCAAAAAAAGTGAACAAGGGTTGTAATCCTCCCTTACTCTATACAAAATTTTATAAAAAGTTATGCCTACAGTTCTAATTTAATACATCTTATCTCCATGCAGTGTCATTTGTATAACAAGATATGTATGATACAAACTGATCAATATGCCACTTTTTATACTGTAGCTTTTTTGTGTTTGAAACCCATATGGATCAACTGGATTTTTTTTTCATAATAATTTAATACATTGATTTTTGTGATTTTTTTTTTTTTTTTAGCTAACTTATGGCCATATTAGAGCTATACTATATAGCATTTATGAATGCTGCTTCAGTTTGAATGCTTTTATCAAGTTACTATTGACCTTTAGTAAGCGAATTTGAGAAACTAGTCAGATTTTTTTTATAGTTGTGGCTTGCAGGCCATGGCAATCTGCCACCTCTTCTTTAGGTCTCTACCCATTTAATGTGCTGACATGTTGTATCGTACAAGATAATTGTATCACAATGTACAGACACAAGTAAATGTCATGTGGAGGTTTTGTCCAGTCTACATAATTAACCATTTTCCTGTGAGGGTTTCTACTAAATCGCAATCAAATGCAAGAGGTGTTGGGGTTAATTTATTAAAGGCAAATAGACTGTACACTTTGCAAGGAAATTTTCCCCAGAGCTTAGTGAATGAGGTGAAGCTCTGCTGACTTCTGTCATCCAGCCACTTGTGTGGGGTGGTGGTCCTTAGTATGGGATGTGGAGGAAGAAAACCCTATGATATTCACTGAAAACAAAGAATATAAGAGAAGAGAAAGGAGTCCCCTTCTGGTGTAGTAAGTAGACCTTCCAATTAGGCATGCCATAAATACCCCGTCTTCACACAGGAAATAGGCAATCACACTTGATACCTAAGAGAACCCAACCTTAGGTCTTCAAAAGAGGTTTCTGAATGGTGGATTAAACACAGTAGTGTTTGGCTGTGATCATGTAGAAGACAAAATCATCTTATTTATTGAGCAAGCATCTGTAAGTTTCACCAAAAGATGTATTTCATGGGGGATAGGCTACAACTTACACTTGGTAAGGCTGCGAATACCTGGGGTTTGTAGTGAATGCAACCTTCCAATTAGCCACGGAGAGAACGCCACTGTTTCCCCACAGGAAGTAGGCAGACGCACTCAATATCTCAGGCAACCCAACCTTAGGTGCCCAAAGAGAGTATCAGGATGGGGGCAGAACTCATTAGCAGATGGAAAAATCCATCAAAGGCAGAGGCACCCATGGTAGTGTGTGGTAGTGATCATGTCGCAGTCATCATGATTATTGAGCAAGCATCTATTAGTTACACCAAAAGATGCTTTTCATGGTTGATACGCCATAACTTACACTTGGTAATGCTGCAAATACCTGGGGATTGTAGTAAATGCAACCCTCTAATTATACATTAGGCATTCCAATTAGGTGTCTTTCTGTGTAGCTAATAAATGCTTGCTCAATCATTGCGATGACTTTGAATTCTCCATGATCAATACCATACAACACCAAGGGCGCCTCTGCCATTGATGGATTTTTCCTTCTAATAACAAGATCATCCAATCATGTACAAGAAAAATACTTTTTTTTTATGTATCTTGCACATGATTGGATATTCTTTGTAAAGTGAATTCTATGTTCACTTAGCTAAGTGCAAAAGAGCCAGCCTATTTGCCTTTAGTAAATCAACCCACTGTCTTTCTTTTGTACAGGTATATCCTACAACATATTCATATGGATCCACTCTTCAACTATAACCACTTTACATAACTGCTATATATGTGTGATGTATCCTGGTAGAAATATGCTGATGATAATTACAACATGACCTGCAAATTAGTCATGGGGGGGGTGTTATTCCACTGTACAGAACTTTGTCTAAATGACTTTGAGGTATTGTATTGACGTGCATACATATAAAGAATACCTAGAACATGTTTAATGAAATGGAAATAATTCAAGAAAAAGGTTTATATGATGCAGTTTCAAGCAGAAAGTGTATTATGAAAGGTTTGTGGACTTCAATGTGTAAAGCTTGAAAAAAGTAAAAAATAGACACGACTGAGCTATAGACAAACCACTTTGACTCTGATGTGTATGAAGCTTAAAGTCACTCTAAGTGCGCCTTTTTTTGTTTTTTTAAACAAACATGGTATACTTACTTGTCCTGCACAATGGTTCTACACACAGCAACGCCAATCCTCCTGTTCTTGGGTCCCCCACCACCATCCCACGCCGAATGCCCCCATATCAAGCTGCTTGCTATGGGGGCACTCATGCATGCTCACTCCCAAACTGGCACTGTGTGTCCATAAGACACACACAGCACCCGCCCCCTGCCGGTGATTAACAACAGCCAATGAGAAGTGAGAAAGCTGAGAGACCCTCTGCTCTCATGCACATCGCTGGATCAAGATAAAGCTTTTACATTCATGGATAGAATGCATGAAGGTAAATCCTTTTGCCTTTACAACCACTATAAAGTGTAATTATTGGAGTAATCAAAAATTTGCTATTTTCTATTTTATATATATATATATATATATATATATATATATATATATATATATATACACACACACACACCGTATTTTCTGCTCCATAAGACATAGTACAGGAAATGACCAGTGACTGCATACATAGTACAGGAGATGACCAGAGACTGCGGATATAGTACAGGAGATGACCAGAGACTGCAGACATACTACAGGAGATGACCAGAGACTCCGGATGTACTACAGGATATGGCCAGAGACTGCGGACATAGTACAGGAGATGACCAGAGATTGCGGACATAGTACAGGAGATGGCCAGAGACTGCGGGCATAGTACAAGAGATGATCAGAGACTGAGGACATAGTAGAGGTGATGACCACAGACTGCGGACATAGTACAGGTGATGACCACAGACTGCGGACATAGTACAGGTGATGACCACAGACTGCGGACATAGTACAGGAGATGACCAGAGACTGCGGACACAGTACAAGAGATGAACAGAGACTGCGGACATAGTACAAGAGATGAACAGAGACTGCGGACATAGTACAAGAGATGAATAGAGACTGCGGACACAGTACAGGAGATGACCAGAAACTGCGGACACAGTACAGGAGATGACCAGAGACTGCGGACACAGTACAGGTGATGACCAGAGACTGCAGACATAGTACAAGAGATGAACAGAGACTGCGGACATAGTACAAGAGATGACCAGAGACTGCGGACATAGTACAGGAGGTGACCAGAGACTGCGGACACGGTACAGGAGGTGACCAGAGACTGCGGACACGGTACAGGAGGTGACCAGAGACTGCGGACACGGTACAGGAGGTGACCAGAGACTGCGGACACGGTACAGGAGGTGACCAGAGACTGCGGACACGGTACAGGAGGTGACCAGAGACTGCAGACACAGTACAGGAGATGACCAGAGACTGCGGACATAGTACAGGAGATGACCAGAGACTGCGGACATAGTACAGGAGATGACCAGAGACTGCGGACATAGTACAGGAGATGAACAGAGACTGCGGATATAGTACAGGAGATGACCAGAGACTGCGGATATAGTACAAGAGATGAACAGAGACTGCGGACATAGTACAAGAGATGAACAGAAACTGCGGACATACTACAGGATATGACCAGAGACTGCGGACATAGTACAGGAGACGACCAGAGACTGTAGCCATAGTACAGGAGATGACCAGAGGCTGCGGACATAGTACAAGAGATGACCAGAGACTGCGGACATAGTACAGGAGATGACCAGAGACATAGTACAGGAGATGACCAGAGACTGCGGACATAGTACAGGAGATGACCAGAGACTGTGGACATAGTACAAAAGATGACAGAGACTGCGGACATACTACAGGAGATGACCAGAGACTGTGGACATAGTACAGGAGATGATCAGAGACCAGAGACATAGTACAGGAGATGACCAGAGACTGCGGACACAGTACAGGGATGACCAGAGACTGCGGACACAGTACAGGAGATGACCAGAGACTGCGGACATAGTACAGGAGATGAACAGAGACTGCGAACATAGTACAGGAGATGAACAGAGACTGCGGACACGGTACAGGAGGTGACCAGAGACTGTAGACATAGTACAGGAGATGACCAGAGACTGCGGACATAGTACAGGAGATGACCAGAGACTGCGGACATAGTACAGGAGATGACCAGAGACTGCGGACATAGTACAGGAGATGACCAGAGACTGCGGACATAGTACAGGAGATGACCAGAGACTGCGGACACGGTACAGGAGGTGACCAGAGACTGCGGACACGGTACAGGAGGTGACCAGAGACTGCAGACATAGTACAGGAGATGACCAGAGACTGCGGACATAGTACAGGAGATGACCAGAGACTGCAGACCTTCTCAGAAAACTACAGGTGGCCTTTCACAAAGTGCAGCACTTCTCGCGTATGCGCAGTGGGCACCCGGCTGTCACAGCCAGGTGCCCACACTGACGATGCCGGCGCCGGGGATAGAAGATGGCCAGTGAAAACAGGACACCGCTTAGCCCGAGGAACAGGTAGGACCGAGGAGCAGGTTCTTCTGCACAGTAGAGCTGAGCGGCTGGCCCGGTATTCTAAACACGGCGGTGGTGAGAATACCGGTCTGGCCGCTCCATTTTTGCTCCAAAAGACGCACATTTTCCCCCATTTTTTGAGGGGGAAAAGTGCGTCTTATGGAGCAAAAAATACGGTATATTATCATCAGCTAAATTAGCTGATGCAATCTGGCAGTATCGTTAACACAGCTTTTTCGAGCCATTTTCCGCTGAAACATAGCTTTAATATCTGTTGATCATGCCAATAGATCCATCTACTTCCTGCCATAACACTGTTTGTTCTTAAGCACCAAATGGGAAAATATATTAGCAGAGGAGCTCGTGGAACTTATGAACAGGATAGTAGTAGTTTTCAATGGATTAGTTAGTCTGATTGAGAAAAAAAAAAGACACAAGTTCATATAGTCCAACCAATAAAAAGGAGGAAAAAAACTAAAAAATGTATTGTTAACATTTTTTAATCAGTTACTCAACAATTTCTTTTCTTTTGAACAAAAAATAAAGGCTGACCATTGTAAGCACCACTCCCAGCGTAATGTGGTTTGTTTTAAAGCCCTTACTGCCCCTTTTCTTGGCAGTTTGGCTTGTTACAGAAGGGTTAGGCTGGGGAGGTTACACTATAAGGACACATTGACGCTTTTCCCTGAATAGGCTGGTGACAATATCTCTTTAACCACTTGTCCTCCAGAGGATTACCCCCCCCCCCCCCTTCCTGACCAGGCCATTTTTTGCGATACAGCGCTGCGTTACTTTAGCTGACAATTGCGCGGTCATGTGGTATTTCTGTGGTATTTGTTCGCCTCTGTGGTTTTTATTTTTTAAGCTATAAACAAAAAAAGACCGACTAATTTGAAAAAAAACAAACAATATTTTTGACCTTTTGTTATAAAACATATCCAGTAAAAAAATTTTTAAATAAATAAATATTCAGTTATAAATTTAGGCCAAAATGTATTCTGCAACATGTCTTTGCTAAAAAAAATCCCAATACGTGTAAATTAATTGGTTCACCAGAAAGTTATAGCGTCTACAAATAATGGTATAGATACTGGAATTTTTATTTTTATTTTTTTTTATACTAGTAATGGCAGCGATCAGTGACTTATAGCCGGACTGCGGCAGGCATTCTGACACTGGTTGGGAACTGACTAATTGTCACTTACATCCTCAGTGACACAAATACAGTGATCAGTGCTAATAAAAAGCACTGACACCATACTAATGACACTGGGCAGAAAGGGGTTAACATCTGGGGCGATCAATTGGTTAACTGTGTGCTGTTTTATTAAGTGTGCTGTGTGTGTGTTTTACAGTGTAAGCACATTGCTTTGTATTCCTCTGCTATGCAGATGAATACAAAGCAGTGGGGTGGAGCTGACAGGGGAGAGATCTGTGTTGTTTACATATAGACCTCTCCCCCGTCAGCGATACTCGGCGATCGCTGGGTGCACATCTTATTTCCTGATAAGAAAGACTGAACCTGTAGCCATTTTGCACATGCTCAGCTTAGTGTGTATTGCTAGAGAGTTTTTTCTTAGGAAAGGGCATGTGATCAGCACAGGCCAATCAGCACTGTCCTACCCAGAAATGCAAAATCGGTTAAAGTGTTACTATACCCACAACAGTAAAATCAGTCTGTATATGCAGTAAAGCATACTTGTTATACTCACTGCAGAACCTAAGGGGTAATCCTCTGCATTGTGTAAAAAAAGGACATTTGATCCTGTCTTCTCTGCTCCTCCTGTTGTTCAAATGTCCACATCTTATTTCCTGATAAGACAGACTGAACATGTAGCCAATCTGCACATGCTCAGTTTACTGTGTATTGCTAGAGAGGTTTTATTTTTCTTAGGAGAGTGCATATGATCAGCACAGGGCCAATCAGCGCTGTCCAGACAGAGCCCAGGGGTTCTGCATCCACCTAGAGCAAAAAGAAAACTCCTCCTACAAGCTTTAACCAGTACTCTGCTGGACACTGATAGAAGTCACAAGACTGCTCTAACTGCTGGTGAGAAAAGGTATTTAGCAATTTATATTTACTAACATAATTGCATTTCCATGTTGTGTGTACAGTGGGAGACCAGATATAGTGAATGCAGGGTGCTGGGTTTAGTGACACTTTAAATCACTCGCAGTACTTACAAATTTGCGCTATGTATGGACAACAGCATAATGCAATGCTATAAAGGCACCAATAATTACAATCCACAGTCTACCCAGGCCTTTTATCTGTTGGCTTTGTTTGTAATTCCATCACAGACGGTACCTTTCAGTATGTACAGGATAGACACGACTGTGTTGACAAGTAAGATGCAGATCATTTTTTTATGGTGGGAGAACGACAATGGCGAGACATATTTATACATATCTCAGTCATAATCCAAAAGATGAACAAAAGGGAAAAGAACGTTCTACCGAGACAGATCGCACATCATACCCCAAGACACAACCACCTTGTCCAAAGTGACTTAAAAAAAAAACATCTCGCAGATGTCCCGGAGTGACTGACTTTACTACAAGGAGCAGTTAACGGCAGCACGCTGACCCTTTCAATTTAGGTTTTTTCAAAGGACATCACAAAAGACCGAAGTGTTTCACAAGGGCACTTGCCATTTTATCAGAATGATCATGAAAGAATTTTTCTTGCTTAAGGGCAGCAGACGCTAATGTGCCATTGTTCTGTAAACAGACAAAAAGTGGAGTTTGGGGGATTCTTTGTACTCCGTCACTGCCATCTACAGGCCTGCACTTGTATCAACATCATTTCCGCATCAGTTTTCAAGCTCAGTCCCATGAATAAAGGAAAGTAAATTTACAGATTACATATAGCCAGGGGCGGACTGACCATTTGGAAACTCGGGCACTGCCCGAGGGCCCGGGGTCAGTGGGGGGCCCCATGAGATGCCCCTGGTACCTTTTTCATAAGCTTTTTTGAGTTTGGGCAAGGACACAGGGGCCCCATGATCTCCTATTGCCCGGGGGCCCCATGAGTTGTCAGTCCGCCCCTGAATATAGCACATTTTTTATTTTATATATGCTTATTTATTTATTTCAGGTAATTATACAGCGCCATCAATTTACACAGCTCTTTACATATGTTTTGTACATTCACATCAGTCCCTAACCCTCAAGGGGTGTACAATCTAAGGTCCCTAACTTACATTCATACATAAACATGCTAGGACAAATTTAGACAGGAGCCAATTCACCTACCAGCACGTCTTTGGAGTGTGGGAGGAAATCGGAGTACCCGGAGGAAACCCACGCAGGCACAGGGAGAACATGCAAACTCCAGGCAGGTGGTGCCATGGTTGAGATTCAAAACGATGACCCTAGTACTGCCAAGTGGAAGTGCCAAGCATTTAGCCACTGTGCTGACCATCTCAATGTAACAACTAATAATGCCTACTTCTATTTTGGAATGCTTCTACATAGCAAAGAAAATCTTTTTCTGGAAGATGCGGTTTCCTATTAAATAAAAAAAAATGTTGTGGCTTTACTTATTGTAGGGCTATCAATTGTAGAAGATCCTACAAGCCGAGATTGTTAGTGGCCCTTATGATTAAATAAAATGCATGCTACAACGGATGATATATCTATTTTAATCATTAGGCCCCCATGAAAACAAAGGAAGTGACTGTCCCTTTAAATATTAATGATGTTGATATTAGCAACTGCATAAACAGGATCACAATAAAATCACACTGCTTCTAAATGGCTCAAATCCATATCTGGCCCTCCGAACCCACTTGTGCTGAATTGCATTGTAATTGTATTACCCTAGGTTCAAACCTAAGCGTTTTCCACAGTGTTTTGTAGAAATGCAGTACAGTCCTTTTAACACGATTTTCTATGGGAGATATTCACATCTCCACGTTTTCACCTGGTGTGGTTTTTGGAAAGGGTCAGGGATTTTTTGAACGCAAAAAAAATGGTTCTATAGACTTCAATAGAAACGCTGCAGAAAAGCATGTAGTGTGTTTTTGTTGCGTTTTTGCAGCATTTTGTGCTTTAAATCTGCCTAGCAACAAGAAAAAAAAAGAAAAAAAAAAAAGGAAAACTAATGAAAAACACGGCAAAACGCAGGTGCAAAAATGCAAAACGCAATGGAGAAACAGCTCAAATGCAACCTGCATAGGTGTGAACCTAGCCTTTGTGAGCTGTCCTGAGCAGGGCCCTCCTAATCCTCTTGTATTGAACTGTACTATCTCCTTTATATTGTAAAGTGCTGTGCCACATGTTGGTGCAACATAAATCATGTATTATTTATAATAATAATATTAATAATCATCAACATCATCGAGATTTATTCAAACTGGAGCACTCAGAATCCGGTGCAGCTGCACATGGTAGCCAATTATCTTCTAACTTTAGTTTGCTCAATTAAGCTTTGGCAATAAAACCCGGTAGCGGATTGGTTTCTATGCACCAGATTTTGCAGGCTCTAGTATTACTAAATAACCCCCAGTGTCTCCTTTTATTTTGTAAAGCACTGTGCAAACTGCTGGGACTATAGTACTATACATGTCGTGTATTATAGTAATCTGATTAAATAGTCAACTTTCTTTATACCTTTCTATGCATATCACAAAATATTTAATTAGCCACATTACCAATCCTACAAGAAAAAAAACATTTCAGTAGCACACTGCATATAAGTAAATGTATACACATCTAGAGTACATTAGAATGTAGTATACAGTAGATCAGAACAAACTGGGAAGAACAGGAGTGGGGAATATAATCTGTGAATAAAACTCACATCCATGCTTGCTTAACCACTTGCCCTCCTGAAATAGAGCTCTCTTTCGGTGGTATTTGATGGCCTCTGAGGGTTTTTATTTTTTGCGCTATAAACAAAAAAGACCGACAATTTTGAATAAAAAAAACCCTTTATGTTTGACTTTTTTCTATTAACCACTTGCCCTCCAGAGGATTTACCCCCCTTCCTGACCAGGCCATTTTGTCTGACAATTGCACGGTCATGCAATGCTGCACCCAAATGAAATTTACG